AGCATAGTTTCCAAATATATTTGGCAAGAAATGTATAACTGTGCTGTGTTTCTCCTAAACTGTCAGGGCATGGAACCCCATTTAGGATTAGAGTTTAATGGGGCTTTTGGGGCTGAATCTGCTCTCAACAAGGCTGTTTCCCTAGCGAGCCAAAGCACCCCCAGCTAAAACTGCAGGTGATTATGCATGGCTGTCAATTCCATTTAGCCCATGGTTCCAGACTTCAAAAATGGACATGAAGCCTTCTAGGTTGTGTTTTGCCCTGCCCATTCAGATGCTGGTGTTTATTTACCCAATACAGGACACCAGTGTGTGTCTTGGTAGTGATAAGAAGTAATCTGGAGGATACACATTTGGCAGAAATCATTAATGTGCAAGTGATGGTCCGTGGCTCAATTCATATTTCATTATGCCCACTCCATGACTGTCAATTTCAAGTTGAGGATATAAAAGATTCTGTGGAGTGACACATCATCCCTCTGTTCCACAGTTCATCCTCTAAAACCCAAACCTAAAGCCCCAATAAATATTTCCAAGAAATCATTGTTTAAGGCGCTAATTTCTGTGGCAAGCCTTGAAAATCTTATCAGGGTTCGCTGTTATTTGACATTGCCTTGGGCACTGAATATTTAAACACATCTTCTTCTCCGCTGCCCTTAGACAAGAAATGTGTGAATAAAAAGCCTGAGTGGCTCCAACTAAATTAATTTCAACCTTCTCCCAGTGAATGTTAGCAGCCTTCCGAAAAGATCAGGCCAGAGTTGTCTTTCAATTATCTCTGTTTTTGGCTGCATCTTGACGTGACATATGTCTATCAACCTCTGAAAACTAAAAAGAGAGCTCATAATCTGGGGAAAGGGTTCTGACCAATAATGCTGTCCACAGTGATTTACAACCACAATTCTGACGGGTGAGCATTTTTCACAATCCCAAGTGATGTATGAGCATAGTTAGGTTATATTGAGTTGGCACGGAGCTTTACCTTGAAAAGCATGGCGGAGGCAGTCTTTTATTTAAAAGAGCAGCAGCTCTGATGAGGCCTGAAACTTTTTCTAAACCTCCGGTGATTTAGCTGTAACCTCCGACAACTACATTTAGTTTTCAAGTCATATGCACCAAAACTTCCTTGAATCTTTTGTTGCCAATAAATGTACGATTATTTTAACATCTGTCGTGAAGCACAGGGAACGAGTGAAGCTTTTAGTGATTTCAGATGCAAAACTCCTCTGTGGCTCTGGTTGTAATGCTCAGCTATTTTGTTTAATATTCAGGGCATTAAGCATGGAGTCTTTATCTCCTGAAAGCTTTCAGCACGAATATAGAATTTGATGATTGAAATTCATCAAAGCCAAAGAAAAAAATCTCAAACATACCTGCAAATGACTACGATAGTTTTTAAGGTGATTACTTGGATGCGGTAAAATGTATCCAAAAGTGGGACATGAAATGTAAACAAACCTTCTTTTCATTATTTTGGCAGGATCAGTTTGAATTGATTCTCAAATTGGAGCAGTTGGGATAAAGCCAGTGATGTTGCAGCATTGCACTGTCACTGCATAAGAGCTGTAAGGCCTCACCTGTAGTGGGACCACAATGCAATCTCAATATAGCAAAGTAGTAATACCCAACATGAATAATCTTGCAAGGCAACTCACAGTATTATTTCATCTGATGACCCAAGTGTGAACTGAAGAGGGTGATAGAGCCCTAAAGAGCACCTACTCCTTGAATGCATCGGCACCAACATGTTGGCATCGGTGTGTCTTTCTGAGTCGCTTGAGAGACAATATTCTACAAAGAGGAAACTGACATTGTCCAGTCCAGACCGTGAGGCAGGAGCTCGTCACCTTGTGGAGAGTGCAGAGAGCAGAATTGGGCAAGTAAAAATGAGAAGTGACAGGATATTGATTTGCTTATCGCTGCTGTGCAGACACACAGATGTGAAGGGCAAGAGAAGAGGAGGGGGAGGGGGGTGGCGGTGGTTATCAGGCTTTCACGTCAGATAGGGAAACTGAAAAAAGAAAGATTTATCAGCTGATTGCTTCGCCTCAATTTTTACTCCACTTTCTTCATGTGCTTCACTGTAAAAGGCACATACTTTTTGAAAGTAAATAAAATGATCTGGTTCGGGTAAATCGAAGGTGCTATCAAAAATACTGATTGATGTGTAACTGCAAAACATTGATAGACGCGTTAATTAAATTATATGGTACAGTCACAGTTAGTGACAAAGCCTATGGCGTGTTGTTTAGGCATGAAGCACATATGACAATTTACATACTGGGAGTCATAAAGCTCAAACTCGCGCCCTAAACTTGCAGGAAGGCCCAGGCCACAGTGAATGTCTCACCTGTGCTGGGGCTGTTTGCAGAACATCTCCATTTTGGCGCCCAGGTTAAACAGCCTGCGTGAGACGACTGTCTAAGACCTAGGTCAAGCCTCGCAGGAGCAGCATGTGTCTAGAGTTTCAGTGACACAGATTTTTCATGCATGATGGTCATAGTTCTAAACAGAAACCAATCTGCTGAAAGACATATTGACACCATGTTAACAACGTTGAATATCTAAATATGTCACAGACGTAAAAAATATTTTACAACCATTTGAGTGATTGTATGCTGTTAATAGAGAAAGTGGAGGCTACATATGTCATAGCAGAAAAAAAGTGGAAGTTATTATATATCAATATGTTCAAACACTAGATAAAGAGCAGTACTTTTCCAACGCAACTCTTAATCATTTTCTTTCTAAACCAAATATAAATTAAATGAGTAATGTAATTGAATCAAACATTTTATTGTTGATGGCCACTGTCCAAGATAAACTCGGTGGAGAAAGATATTGCTGACAGTAGCAGACTGCTGCAACAACGCTGACAGTGAGACGCAGGTATAAGTGCATGAGAAAAATGAGGTTGAATTCCTACAGTTTTACAACTAAGCAGTACAAGGGTTGTGACGATGTTGCCCTGAAAATATTCCTGTAGCCATGAAGTCATCATATTTTAATTAGAGACAAAAAAGACATAATGAGAAAAGTAAAGTATGATTTTCTTGCAGCGGTAGAAGAGGCAATATGACTCATTCTGAGGCAAAGGGGTGATTTGATGTCGACATACAGTTAAACTTTGCTTCTGAATCAGCCCTGCTGCTGAAATGATTAACAAATGATTTAAATATTAATCACGCTTTAGCGTTTCAGTGAGAAC